AAACACTATCCCACCTGAACAGCTATACAGCTCTTCTGTATTATTCACCTGAAACAGGGTGTTCACTACCTGCACAGGACCCTCAGTAACCAAACCAAACCTACATTCCTGATTAGCTTTAATGAAATGCAACTATATTTAGTATCAGTAAGCTATAGGCCAGTTTCTTGTTGAAAACGAGCTTAAAGTGTATTTTAGATAAAGAACAGAACAACATTCATGTGCTGATGTTAAAATGAAAAAGGAAACCCTCACTTCCTTTAATTTCAGCTCCTGGAAGGTCTGCAACAGAATTTCCAAAGGAAACCAACGTTTTCCTTCTATTTAACAGAAATGAAAGAGCCCCCTCTTCTCCAAACTGGCATTAATTTTAATAAGCACTTTCCACGTTTGCATCTCAGTCTGTTCCTTCCCTTCCCCTGCCTTCATTCCTCCCAGTTTGTAGTCCATTTAACTTTTTTGGTTGGTTGGTCTCAATTCACATATCAGGGGAAAATGAGTGTCTAACTCTGAAAATCAGGACCAGCAGTCAGGAGGCTGTAGCAGCATTTACCTGCATGACAGCTTCTCTTAGGATCCATGCAGAAACTAAGGTGGGTTACAGTTGCAAAATATATGTAATTCTCAGACTTTGAACCTTTTCTTAATGAGAATATTGCATAACCACTGCCAATGGAGAACATAGGTAGGTAGGTAGGTAGGTAGGTAGGTAGGTAGGTAAGTTCTGTCCTCCTTGCCTTGTTTCCTCTGTGGTTCTTCCTGTAGAAGTCTTCTTCCTCTGGAGATAAATATTCCTTCTTCTTACTCCAAAATTAGCTGAGGGTTTTTGTTTTAGTCTCAGTTAGGTTTTGTTATCCTTGCTAAGTTTAGATGTTTTTGAACAGTTAGGATTATTGTGGCTGAGAACCAGCATGGTACTTCTTATTTTGTGAAAACAGACAGAGAGAGAAGATGACATTTTTATTATAAAGCCCAAGCCATTGTCTTTCCAAATAAGAGAAAAGTTCATGCTTAAAAGAAAACATGTTCAACCTTCATTACTTAAGTGTGAGTGAATGTTTAGTGAACCAGGAAGCTAGATAAATATCTCAAAAGTTCTCCTGGAGGTCTTCACATGGGAATTTGTATATGTGTACCAAAATAAGCCATCCCCATGCAGTGAGGAAATCCTGCAGTTATGACAACACCCTTGGATGAATTGAAAACCAGAAGTTCTTCAACTAATTCATCTTTAAAGAAGATTAATGAAATGCACTAATCATTTCAGGATGCTGTGAAAACTACATAGTTTAGTCAATTCTGAAAGGCTAAATCACATCAGATTTTCACAATACATATTGCAATACCTGTTTTCAATACTTCAAGTAGCCAAATATCTCCTAGAAGTGACACAAGACACTGCCAACAACTGTCTTTGACTGAGAATAAAAGTCACATATTTTAAATGAAAAAATACTTGAATTCCATCCTACCACACCCACACTGATTCAGTGAAGTTATTAACCTTCCTTCCCAATTTCCACAGCCATCAGGAAGTTTGTTGATCCAAGAAGGGGAGGTTCTTTAGCATTATGGAACATAGGGCTCTTCCTGGAATATTATGTACTCAGACCAATAGTCTCATTAAAGAACAAAGCATCAAGACTACACACTCTACATAGCATACAACTGCTTTGATGTAAATTTTGTGACTGGTCTAATAGGTATGCAGAACTGTTCTGTACTGGTTAGATCTTGCCAAGAGCACTGCCTTTAGGGTAAAAAACCCACCACATTTCTAGAGCTCACAAATGAGGTGGTGAAGACCAGGGACCCTGAGCAGGTCAGCAGTACCAGAAAACAGGATTCAGTCAGAAGAGAGGGTATTAACCATAAAGTTATTCCTTACATAAGAGCTCAGTTTTAGGAGGAACTCAAGGACATCTTACACTGAACTAAATGTCAACGTGAAGTGACTGCAGAACCTTTAAAAGTGTTTCTTCTGCACACCAAAGTAATCAGCATTTTTTAAGATTCCATTTCCAACGTGTACATCACTTATGCTAACCCATAGCACATTTTAAACCATAGAAAGTGGTCTCTCTACTGATTTGCAAGAATCCCCCAGGAGAGGTCTTTCCCAAGTGCGATCAGGGCTTGTACTGTTTCCTTACAAGACCAGTGTTCCTACACCTTGCACAAAGTCCAGAAAGCAACAAAGACCTAGGACTAATTTTGAAGACTGTCTCCAATGACCAAAGATATTTCATTCAACCTTCTTCAAACAGTTATTTTAAAAGTAAAATCATATAATTGGCCATTTCATGGAAATAGCAATATATGCCTTGTGAAATGTTATTCACATAATCAAACCTGTGGGTAAGATACAGCCATGCTGTTTCCAGCAATGGCACTTAAAACACAGTATTTCCTTCAGCTCCTGACAACTTCTCAGCATATCTTAAAGTTTGTAAAGCATTGTTCTGCTGAGACAGACTTTTGTGCTTTAAAGTAGTACCAAAGTCTGTATCACTCAGAAGTGTCTAAATCCTATCCCACATAGACTAAGATTACATACACTGACTAAAGGAAGGCATGATCTACAAAAATATCATTTAATCCCAATCTAATTGGTATTCTACAAATGATGTTGCACTTCAAGTGACAATTATCCAAGATCTTAGTTTTTAAATTAAAATTAATCACTTGAAAACTGATTGAGGCAGTTAAAAAAATTATGCTTCTCCTTTAAAAAGCAGAATTTGTTTTAGTTATCATTGAGCAATTTGAGGGGGGTTTCTTTTTCTTTAAGGAAGTGCAAAATAGCATTTTCTTTCTAACTGTAGATTTAATTTGCTGTCCTAAGAATGACAAATACCTACAGGAATCTAAATGTAATGAAAAACAAAATATGATGATCAAAGAATGTGATACTCCACAGCCTTTCAGTGAATGGGAACAGCAAGCTATGTTTGCTTCTAACTTAGCCGCGTAAAAATTTGTAATGAAAACGTTATCAATGAATTCAAATACCACCTCACAAGGCTATAAAATAACACTGAACTGGAAAAAAACCTTTAACAAGTATTTACCATCAGTTTCTGAAAACTTTCGATTGTGCATTGATTGAAAATATGGTACTGAATTAACTCAAACCTGTTTTGATTTTGAATAATCCATGAAAAAATTTGAGAAGTTAAAAATTAAAAAGCAATGTTCTATGTTCAATGTTCTATGTTCACTTCTCTTGAACAATATTATTTAGACTTTTGTTTCATAACTGTGATTTATGATTAATTAAGACATTACTGATGTCTTGTTACACTGATTTTTATTTCACTAATTATCATCTTAATGCTCAACAGAAAGATCTTGAAGAAGATAAATGCAGCACTTTTATACCAGCATTAAGAAAGTATTGATTCTAAGCAGTCAGATGGAAAACAAAAGTAGAAAAAAAATAGAGCAGTCTAACTAACAAAAGCTTAAATTGTTGCAAAGTGCCATATATCACATACTCTCCAAACAGTAGTTTTTTGTTAATTTAGCAGAGAATTTTCTTTGTGTCATGCTTTGACAAAAGAGAACAAGACTTGTAAATCATATTAGGTAAGAAAGAAAAAAAAATTGAAAGAATTTCATAGATACATATCTTTGCTGAAGTGAAAACAAAATTCTTACAAGGTTCTTAAGCAAGAAATTAGCAAATATCTAACTACTGAATTTGTTATTAGTCAAAATGAAGAAAGTACTACTTCCAGGGCTATTCAGACACCATTGTCTTAGGCACATGTATGCTTTTGTTGTCTAATTAAAAAGTCGATGTATTACCATAACCTTGAGAACCTGACATTTTTCTGCTGCTTGCATTCAGAAGGGTAGCCTACCAACCAACTGCTACAGCAGAGATCACACCACGAAGCATCTGCTTCTTCCACAAGTGCCCAACGGAAAAAAAATCAGCATGCCACAGAAAGCATCTGTTTCTTTTATACTTAAACAGGAGTAACAAGTAACATGCTACAACAGACAGTATTCCTGGAAAACCTCAGCTTCCTCTAATTGGACCTGAGGAACAACTGAAAATAATATTTTCTGCAGAACAATCAGAACAAACAATCACTGAAGACAAAATCAGTTTTAAAATTACTTGATCTTTGAAGGATATAGTCTACTACTTTCAAGAGATAGATGTTTATCAAATAAAAAAAACAACAATCCTTTCTTCTTACAGGAAACATTGCTGAACAAGTTTATTTTCTTTGCTGAAGGACAAAACCAAATCATCTTAATTTCATAAACAATCCCAACCCTCAGAAAAACTGAATTTTTCAGGGTTCACAGGGAGTACAGTAAGATTAAAGATATATGAACACGTAAAAGTCTACTACACAAAACAATTGCTTAAGTATTTTATAAAATTGCTCATGTTATTTTAATAGATGCGTTTCCTTTTACCTAGTCAATTTGATAATTTTATTTCACTTCTTACATGGTACTTTAATAAAAGACATTTTAAATTTTTTTCAAAGACAGCAAAAAAAGTCTCTCAACAGTGTTGATTGGCAGTTTGCCATTGCCATCAGTAAACCACCAGGGAAGACAGAAAGCAGCACCAAAAATAACATTCTCTAGTTGGGTCCATTGGCCATATGTTACACGCAAAAAAATAAATAAATAAACCACCAACCAAAAACAAACATATGTTTCTCCAACAACCATAAACCAGGAAACAAAAATAATCATAAAATCAAATCACAACTCCTAAGCCTTGACCAACCCATTCCTCCAAGAGCAGCATTTGGTTTTGTTCAGGTATCTTCTTTTTTTTTTCCTTTTTAAATGAGGACCACTCAAAGTTATTTTTCCTAAACTTATTAGCAAGTGTTTATTTCTCACCAAGGCAGTACCTTCTGTATCACAGCTACTCAACAAGCAATTTACAGATTGCTAACATACAGCAGCAGCACACAGAAATGCAGCCACTTGAAGGTAATTAGGTTTTGGAGCTTTTTCCTTACCTTTCCCATTTTGCCATGCAGTATACCAGGACAAACTGAGGAAAGTAGTGATGAAAACTAACACGGTGGCCACAGTTCCATTTCGGAGCCTCATCTCATTTCAGCATCACACTTGCTTATGTTCTGTTAGTGATGAGGACCTATCTGCTGGGCTTGCTGCAATGAAGTCAGCTGAAGCACTCCAACAGCAGCTGGACAACAGTGACACAAAATGTAGCCCTCATGTATCAGACGTATCATAAATCAATCCATTCCAAACTGTTGTACGTTTTCTTATAGTTCTCATCAATCCAACTTCTCTTTATTCTTCTAGTTCTGTTTAAAGGAAACAAAATTTTAACAGATTATGTCAAAAATACAAAAAAGAAGAGTCCCCCAAGTACCAAAATACACTACACCTTTATTGCTGTGTCTTACGTGCACCTCCCTCTCGCTGCCTCAGTCTTGCCTCAGAGAACAGAACTTGTTAGATTAAGGTGTGCCTTTTCTAAGACTATTTGCATCCATCCATTTGGGGAGCTGTATTTCACAGGAATTTGGTCACTGAAGGACAAACACACACATTACCAACATTAATTTTATTCTCAACTCAAGGCAAGGTCATGTGTCACCTAGCAGGTGTCAAACTGATACAAAAGCTGCTTCCAGGATGCACTAACTCAAGGCCCTACTCCTAAGACCTCACATCAACAAAACCCCTCTGAAATCAGTGAGGTCTCATGTAACTTCAGGAGCATAACTGCCTCCAGCAAGCTGAGAGGCCAGAGCTATGAACACCGTGTACAAACCTACATTGCTCATCTTTGCTCAGTTCAAGAGGATTTGATCCATCCACAACCATTTTTTTCCTATCTCAGCTGCAGATAAAGTACAGACTATAGTCCCACATGCAGAGACTGCTCAATCCATACCAATTGGCATCAATCAGAAGCCCTCAGAAAGCCATAGTATGACGGTATCACTCCTCTATCTCTACCACACAGGCATAAAGATAAAACCTTATTTATCTACAATTCAGTTTTATTAGGAAAGTTCCATACCCTGGTTATGATAATTAGAAAATTATCGACTGGCCAAACACAGACAGCATCTAATCACACTGTCCTAAGCAAGACAAAGAGATTAGAGGGCAATAAAGAAACCAACTTCAAAAGAGAGGGGAGGGGTTTTCAAAGAATTAAATCATCTTTACAGTAGTCAAACATTTGCAGTCAACACTCTTTCAAGGCACTGCCAAGTTTTTTCCCCCACTATAAACTATATCTGATACAAGTATGTTACTCAGCAATAAATAACTTGCTCTGCGTTTTCTTTGGAAGCAGTCTTTGTCACCTTCTTGCCTCGCTGCATTCAAAACAATAGGGAAAGAATACTTTTTATCATTACAGTACCAAGAGATTCCAGTCAAATTTGAACTATTTTTCCCAATCTTTTATCACAGCACATATTACCTTTACTAAGGAGCCCACAAAATAAAGCATAACCAACAACCATGGTCAAAAAAAGAATGGAAGCAAACAAAGTTGCAAAACTACATGTTCTTGTGTTCAAATCTTAGTCACAACATCCAGGTTACAGTTACCAGCATGCCAGCTGGTTACTATCTAGTAACTACAGTTACTATCATGCCAGCAACGTGCTCTGTTTGAGGAACTTCATGCACAGATGGGTTTGCAGCTTTAAACATTAACTCAGAAAGCCCACAGTACCTATGAGGAAGGGAACAAAAGCAAGTACATAGGAAGCAGACACAGTAGATGGTAACATTCAGTGAGAAACAAAATAATGAACTGGAATAGAAAGAACTGCAAAACGCCTTATGAGAAACCCAAGATCGACACAATGAGAGATAAAGACAACTGAGACACCTATTGAGAGCTAACACAGAGAGCACACAATGCCAGGAAATATCATCAGTACCAGCACTCTGGATGGGAGATGGAAATAATGCAAGCCAGAAGTATCAGCAACAATAATTAGGTGAGAAGATAAAGGTCTTGATGAACTTTAAGAGCAAGGAGAGGCAAAGATCCCAAGTCCCAAAGTTTTATAAGGATTGTCCATGTGAATTTAGGAAGTTTGTGTGATTCCCAAACTACCAAAATAAGCAACTAGGATACCGAGATGAACAGTTTAACTCAGCTGAAGTGTCTCTGAAGCAAGGATGTTTAAACTGTTATCTAATTTGCTCACTATTTTAGCATCAGCCAAATTTCCCTAGAGCACCTCAGGTGTGCACAAAGGACCAGGCTGCAAGTTAGAGGGATAATCCCAGTGAGGGCAACTGGCAGCTGGTCCACCGTGAAAACGAGAGAGGGCAACCAGGCAAGCAGAAATATTATCTGATAATACAAGGAAAGTGAACCATCTGCCTTTCCAGAAAACATGGGCATAATTTTTACATTTGCTGCAACAAAATCAAGATGTTGCGATCAGGGCCTCTCATTGTGCTATCTGAATCCTCAAAAACAGAGTCAGGAAAAAAATCAGAAAACAAAAAAGTAAAAGGAACAGTAGCAACCTGATTCAACCAGCAGTCAGTATGCACAACATTGTGTCAAATCAATAATTATCATGAGTATGAGTTGGCTGGTTCTGCTTTCATCCTCTTTGGGTGTTGTAACCACTCCTGTTAGCACAGGCACCAGCAGCTCAGCTATAGCTCAGCAGTACTTAGATGATTATTTAAGCATTTCACTATATCAAACTGCATACATCAAGGCTATACATAAACCAGACACAATCCAGCTTTTAAAAATGCATATAGCCAAACCAGCAGAAACACATGTGTAGTTCCACATAAATTATTTAAGTCCCAGGTGGTCACTTTAGGTTTGTTCAATAATTTACAGCACATTCTAAACAAATTTAACTGAAGGGTAATCCAGTTTGAGATGACAGTGTGATAGGGTATAACTAGACAGATGAAGCCTATGAAATTCGCTAGCGCCATTATGACCTGAACCTTTCCTACTGCAGACCAAAGGGAATGACCCGGCTGGATGCTGAAGGCTATGGGTGCTGAAGGTGCCGGCACCTCTCAGATGCTGAGCAGAACCCTCCTGAATCACGTCTTAAATAAACCGAGAAGTTTCTGCTTGGATCCAGACACTCCCAAAATACATACAAAGCGTATTCTCAACAGCAAACCATAAAAACTGATAATACTCCAGTACGCCTGCAAAGGCTCTTCACATAGCTGCTGAAGGGCTGGATGGTGCGGGATCACAGCACGAAGCGTGCCAGACTTCCGAGAGGATGAGCCAGACCCCATCCTGCCGGGAGGGTGCGAAATCACCCACCGCGGTAGCACTGCTGCACTGAAAAGGTTGCTCTTGAAGGCACGGAAGAACGGCCCGTGAGGAAACGGCAGCCAAAAGCCGAAGGCGCCGGGGACCTGCTAAAAGAGGGGCTTTTCCGCCGTATTTCCACTGACACGATCCC